CCGCAAAAACTGCATTAAAAATGTGCTGGAAAAACTCGGCCTATGCACAAGTATATACGGTACTTCACAGCCCAGTGTCAGGAGTGTACCCCAGAAAAATGTCACCATCTCTCCCTTCCTAGATGAGCACCATCACCACAACTCCCTCGGTCCCCAGGCAACCAGCTTTCAGGAAACCTCTAGGGAAAATTCAGGGGGAACTAAGAGCTAACAACCAAGTGAGTGCAGTGCGGCAAGAGCAGGTTTAAGCGGATGTAGGGCACGAGGCAGGGATGGCTACGCACTTTCGAAGTATTGGTCCAGAAACATGAGTCTTCACCCTGCTCAGACACATGGTCTACCTTTAAAAGAAATGCAAATTCTCTGGCCCAGATACATTCTTTCTTTCTTTATATTAATTTGTCATTTTACTGGGAGCTCTTGCAGACGTCATAACATTCCATAATTCAAATAATTCAAGCATAATTGTGTAATTGCTACTACAATCATTTCAAAACATTTTCTTTCTTCAGCTCCTCTTTATCCCCTCCTTCTACCTCATTTCCCCCCAGGAACCCTTGTTATTATTATTACATTATTATTATTGTTATATATTATTATCTTCTATTATTATTATATGTATATATATTTTCCTCCTACAATTCTGTTATTTGCTTCCCTTGAGTGGAATTCTATTGCTATCAGCTCCCTCTTTTCCCTTCTCCTGCCCCCATCTTCCCATATCCTCAGGTTAATATTACTCCTGTTGCTGTTTCTGTAAGGTCATCCATCCTGGCATTCCTGCATCGAACAATCTTACTTATATGCCTGAATGTACGTAGGTCTGACAGCATTGATGAGGTAAAACATAAGCCTTAATAGTAAGGGGAGGAAATATTAAAGAACCAGAGGATGCTTATGAGTTTCATCAGTGCTATGTCACAGCCTGACTTCCTCATCCTCCCCCCTCCCCCCCACCTGCGGCTCCTCTGCGAGGGCCTGTCCAATTGTCTTGCAGGTGGGTTTGGGGTCTCCACTTTGTCCACACTCCTTCACATCCATTTGATTGCTTATTTTTGAACTTCTGATACCTAGTACTGTTGATGCCTCATGATCATCCAGGGTGGTGTGCTTCTTCCATGTGGGTATTGTTGCTTCCCTGCTAGATAGCCACTTGTTTGACTACAAACCTTTAAGACCCCAAACTGTGTATTTTTTAATAGCAGGAACCATCAGCTTTCTTCACCACATATGCTAAAGTACCCATTTTGTCTTCAGCGATTGTGCCGGGAAGGTATCATACAGTGCCACATAACTAGAACAAACCATTCTTGTACTTAGGTGAGCTTTTAGTAGAGGCCCAAAGTCCAACCAGATACATTATTTCTAAAGATTCGATCAAAATGCATGTTCATAAAGATTAAAAATGTATCTCAAAAGAGATGTATGGCAATAAATTTAGGAAATCATTTCACTATCAAAAATAAGATGATATTTAAATAAGTAATGGCATAACCAAATATTACAGTCAAGAAAACTCTACAGAGCAGTTTTACTCTGTAACAACATCATGACTAACAATCCACTTGCTGACAACTAGCATAAGGGTAGAGTAAAAAGTTCTTGTTGTTTTTGTGTGTGCTGTAGAGTAGACTGGGACTCATAGAAGTAGGATATTCCAAACCAGTAGGCATTATATTTCTGAAGAAATTTTCATTGTGGTGTAAATGTGTCCATCATTTTGTAAGTGAAAAATATACAAGCTATGTAGAAAAATATAATTCTTTATTTGGCACAGTATTAACAGGTGTTTTGATTCAGTATTGAATTTGTGGGTCTGGTTTGTAAATCTTGATTTTTTTCCCCGTGTTTCCCACGACAATCAGATGTTTATAATCAGATGCTAGAACTTATGGTCTTTTCTTGATTTTAGCGAAATGACTTTTAGGGATTCTTGCTGGTTCCGTGTTTAAGCAGATCGGCACTAAGTGAAAGGTTGGTGGTTCAAATCCACTAGCCACTCTTCAGGAGAAAGATGTATCCATCTATTTCTGTAAGATTTCTATCCTTGAAAACCCTAAGGGGCAGTTCTACCAATTCCTTCAGGCCTCACTGCCAAGAGTCGGAAACAACCTGTCAGCCAGGAGTTTGGTGTTCTGAAGTCAGTATCTTCAGATGAAAATGGGGTTCATCTTCATCTCACCACAGGTAACTGTGGGGCACCAGGAAGATGGGGTGAAGTACTAAATGTGGCCCCAGCATGGCTCCTCAAACCCCACTCAATCCTCCAGTTTTTCAGACTTCAACCTGAAAGTCAGCTTTGATCTTTAACTCGGGGCCTCAGACTGAAATAAACCAAGAACCTTCGCTTCATTCAGGGGAAGGAGAGAGGATAGATGTGAATTCCGAAAGACCAAATTCTCATCAGCACAAACTCACTAAAACTACCGAGCTCCAGGATTGAGATGGGAGAGAGAGTGGGAAAGAGAAGGGGTTCGGGCTGGCAGGGTGGCGATCTAGATGAACAAGTACGGATTCACCCTGAAGCACAGGAATTCAGCCATAGGCATCTCTCCAGGCAGCAGAAGAAAGGTCTCCCAGTCACACACTACAAGAATCAAAGAGACACAAACAACAGGAATCTGGAAGGTACCTCTGTCCCCCACACGGTCCTTCACCCACTGAGCGGCTGCTGCGATGCTCTCTGTCTGGGTGACGTCCAGGATCAC